GACAGGGTCAGAATCGGGAGGGCCAGGCAGATAGCCCCCACGGGAATCGGAAACAGCGCGGCTGATTTACCCGAACCGGCCAATTCCGACCTCCATACCGTCCCATCCGATCTCGAAGTGTTGCTGTCCGAGAGCGAGTTCCTCTTTTCGGACACGTGACCACGGTGAATAAGAGGCGTGTTCAGATCTGTGCGCGTTTAGAGAAGAAAATCTTTTTAAAATTTGTATCGACGAAAGAGAGAGAAAGAGAGAGAGAGAGGGAGAAAAGTCGATGCATCGAAGAATCCCGTCCGCCGAAGTTGCGAAGGATACACGTTGAAAACGTTTTACATGCCATCCCATGGTTCAACCTCGGTTTCATTAACGGTGAATATAAACTATTCCGCTCGTTCGTAGAAAATCAAAAAAAAAAAAAAAAAAAAAAAGGAAAAAAAGGAAAGAAGGAAGGGAAGAAAGAAAGTATTTATCGTTGATGAAATCGCATGTCCGAGAACCCATCGTTTTATCGTATTAATCTAATGGCTGCTGGGCGTGTTTTCATAAACGTTGACGCAACCCCCTCCCAAATGAGCTTCTTCCGTTCTACTGTGCTGGAATTTATTTTTTTATAAGTATATATAACGAGGAGCACGCATACACATACAGCGTACGCTTTCGCTCTTTTTCACGTCTTCCTAGGAATAATAAGAAACGACGGTCTGCGTTCGGAATAATTCACACCCCCGTGAATTATTTACTCGATTCGCGTTACGATTTATATGTAATCGATCACTACGAAACGATCCGCGTTCTATGGAAGTGCTAGTTGAACGATATCCAAGCCAAGTTTTCTTCTTCCAAAGAAAAGGGGCCAAATTCACTTTAAAAAAAATAAAAAAAAAAAGAAAAAAAGAAAAAAAAAGATAAAAAAGAAATAAAGAAAGAAGGAAGGAAAGGAAAGACTAATTACGCGTGCGTACGTACTTGGTGGAGACGTACGCGTAAATGGCACAAGAAATAAAGTTGATAGACCTATTTTTCGCCTGTCGCAAATGCGCAAGAAGAAATTTGTTTCTTTCTCTCGCGAGACACACGGGAGATTACGAGAGATTCGCTTGCAATCGCAGCTTTCGTCACAATTCAGGCAACAACGTTCGATGTTGAAAAAGCGATGTTTTAGCGTAATGCGTCGAAGACGAATAATAAGGGAGTGCAAGAGAGAAAGAGGATGCGAGAGAATGAGAGCGAGAGTGAAAGAGAGAGAGAGAGATACATAAAACTGTTACTATATCGTGCCTATCGTACACCGCTGTTCGAAACTTGGGAAAGAAATCTCGCGATTGAAAAGAGAAATTTTTTTTGATTTTTCTAATGACAATTTTCTAATTGTCGCGGGGAAAAAGAGAGGAAAAAGAGGAAGAGAAGGAATCAGCAAACGCGCAATTCCAAGGAATTTGCCAAGGAATTGGTGATATAGCGATGAATCGATGTTCTCTCCGGGAAAAAAACAAACAACGTAATTGAAAATCGCGGTTTGATAGTCGAAGCTAGTCCATCCTTTCGAATTTCTTTTGAAAATCGTCAAACTTTTTTAAAGAGTCAAACTTTTGCTGTTAATCTAACTCTACTATTCTCATGGTTCCTATTTACCGGCAATTCCTAACCGCGGTGTAAAATTTGCCGGGATTATTTGCATTTCCAAGTGGATAAGTGATGACGAAACTCGTTGAGCTATTTATATTTTTGAGACTGTATAAAAAGAGATGTCGAGATGTTCTGACGACAGGTGATGCTCTCGTCGCTATATTTCCATGAGTTTCATTCACTTCCCAGAGATTTATCCACACACACACACACACACACACACACACACACAGTGGAGAAACAATCGAATCTTGATCGTACTGACATGATTTTATCTTAATCTGCGGTGCTATTAGTCAATATGCTTAAAGATTCTCTGTCGAAAATATTCTCTGCCCTTTGAACATTCCCGATCGCTTTTT